AATAACAATAGCCATATAAGGTAAGGAAAGGTTTGTCATATATATTTTTTTTCTACCAGCGTATCGGGCGATTTTAGAAGAATTAACACTACTAAGCTCTAATTTTCGCCGTAAATAAACAAAAGCGAATTCAAGATTGTGATTTTTTTAATCCCACCCAGTTCTATTTAAATTCTTGAAAATCTTTTTTATAGGACGTGTTTTTAACAGAAACAGATTATAGAAATTTCCTGTTTACTGCCAATTTCATTTATAAAACCGGTTCTACCCTATAATCTTTGAATGGGTCAACCTACAACACTTGTCTTGAATTTAAATCACAATAACATTAGTAGGGGTGTTAGGGGAAATAAGAAAATATATGGGGTCCTTGAAATTATGCGTATTTGGCAGGGTGTAAGCCAAGCCAAATATACGTTTTTTCTCAAGGGTCCGACTTATTTCTATAATACCCCTCTAAATGTCTATATGACGAATTTACCCTATCGAAGATTTTTCAATAAAGTTTATTTTCTCTCGGCGAAGGAAACCGTTCCATTACGATTGCTTACACTGTGACGTTGTCTGATGCTTATGTTTCGTCAGTTATTCTCTTTGAGAGGTCAAGTGAAAACAGTATAGGGAGCCAGCAGGTCACTTGGAGGGGATATTGATTTAATATCTGGTTAGTAGGTAGCTACAGAACCGTAGCTCCCTGGTTGATAAAATTCGGACAGACAAACCAAATTTCTAGTTTGTCTATCTGAATTTTCTCAACCAGCGAGCTATAGTTCTGGTCTAAGTCAGTTAGTCACGTGGAAGGAACATATCAACAATGTCATGTCAGTAAACAGCATCATGTAGTTTTATACAGTATTCTTCTCGACCAATGAAATTCCAAGATTTTTATCAGAGGCAGGATAAAAGATCGTGTGATATATCTGTACAGATGCAGCACGTGTCAGCATTAATTCACACCTACATGTAGCTTGATTAATGAAGTTGCAGAGATTATGTCTTGTTTGTTTCCTGTATGAAAGTCCACCAGCAGACTAACAGTAATCAAACTTTAAGAGTTGGAATCTAGGGTCATTGTTTTATGTAACATTGGCTGCAACATGCATAGTCACTATATATATATAGTGTAGTATTGGTACGATCACATTAGGTTTATGCGTTTGAATTAAAATAACAATACTTTAAGAAATAAAGAAGCTTTAGTCATCATACTTACGACATTCTTTATACCCCCGTAATCGGAGATTCAGGAGCATAAAGTTTTTGGCCTGTGCGTCTCTCTGTTAGTTAGTCATTTGTTTTCATACTTAATTTGATTATAGAATGTTCCTCCTACATGTACCTGATCAAAACATGGGGCTCACGGCGGGTGTGACGGTCAACAGGGGATGCTTACTCCTAGTAGGAACATGATCCCACCTCTGGATTTCCCAGAGGCTTGTTTTTTATGCCCTTTTCACAAATTTCTATTGTTTATATCTTGAGTCACTCAGGTGACCTATTGCTATTCGTTTTTGTCTTTCGTTATACGTAAACATTTTCTACTTCTTCCCTGGTACCGCTAAACCAATATCAACCAATTTTAGCATCTATGTATGAATGGGAACAAAATTGTGAATTTCATGGTCCCTGTCCCCTGGGTTCTTAGAGGTGGGGCTAAAACCACCAAAATTAATGCAATCTTTAAAAATCTTCTTTAATCCCGGACATCAAGCAATTGTAACGTGTATGATTGGGTTCTTACAAGAGATAGATACTAAGTTTTCCTCTTACTCTGTCTGAGTTTATAATTGCAATGATTGATAAGACCGCTCTGTCTGAGAGTAAATCACACAGTATTAAAAATTTTTCCTCTTATCTAGAGACGGGGACCGGGTATGATTCTTGCACCGTGTTTCTCCTCCTAGGTTCCTATTGATAGGAAAGAACTGGGTGTCTCAATCTTCTTCAGATTTACAACACCCAGAACTTAACATCAATTCCCTAGGATTACTTGCCACTGGTGCTTCTATTCTTACCCTTACTACTTCTTTTTTTGACAATTCTTTTGCCGGCTTCTGATTCAGCTGTCGGCTTCTTCAGCTATCTTCTGAATGCCTGACTTCCCAAAAGCTTCGCTTTATATACCCTTGGGCTAGTCTATGCCAAGGGATGTCAGGTCATTCCATTATTTGACGTCTTCAGTGCGTTTATATAAATACCAAATCACCGAAGACGAAGCCGTTGACAACTCGGGACTTCAACTAAATAGAACGAATTACTAAAGTTTAACTTCGTAAACATTTATAAATATGGGAATTTTAAATTCTCCTTCATAATTATTTTAATTAATTATAAATAAATAAATCCTGTATATCTTCTATTAGCTCTAGCAGTGAAAATCATGTACTAGAAATGACATTTCTTCAATGGCGCCGTAGGCCATTACGAAGTTCACAACATTCCTACTAGATTCTGTGCGACTTTTAAAAAAATGCGTGTTTGTCATTTATTATTTTTTTGAAAAGTATCTTTCCTTAAAATATGTTTTAGGACAGAAAAAAAAGTCGTGATCGATCGGGCAAAAACGATTGTTCTGAATGGAGATAAATGCCATCGCATTTGCAGAGGAAGGCCCCCCTTTTATCTCTCGACCAAGTCCAGGAAATGTGGGGAAAAATTCTTCCTAAAACCTTTCTTATGCACATTTGTGCACCATAAAGCCATAATTAAATTATACCTTACAAGTTGTCAATTATTCAATTATCACTTAGTTATTTTCTAACAGGTTTAAAAGACACAACAAATGAGCCCTTTTGTATACACAATAAGTACTTCGCTTGACCAGGATTGACACCTATGACGTCAGAGCAATGGCGCGTAACATCGGCGATCAAAATATGCATATTGAGAAATTCAAACTTTGAATCGCTGATACATCAAAAATATTAATTTTCTAGCAAAGATTTTTAAATATATGATTTTAATAGCATGTAAACTTTGTCATATCAAAGAATTTTGAAACGTGATAAAACCCTTTAACCATTACACAGTAAACTGTTGGCATGATTGTAATAAGCATTTAGCCCTCTACCAAAATTGTGAAATTCATGGCCCCAGGGTCAGGGGATCAGCTACTAGGATGAGGCTATGTGGATCATAGTGAAAGTACATTATTTCTTTGAAAATCTTCTCTTCTCCTGGGTATTAAACAAAGTAAGTAAGTACATAGTTAAGATGGGCAAGGTTGCCACTTTCCAAATTGTGAATATCATGGTCCATGGGTCAGGGCTTCTGGTGTTAGGGCGGGGCTTTATTGATTATATAGTGAAAATGCATTAATTCTTTGAAAATCATCTTCTCTGCTCCTGGGTATTATTTAAACAAACTAAGTACATGGTTATTATAAGCAAGGATGCCTCTTCCAAAATTGTGAAATTCATGGCCCCAGATCAGGGGTTCAGGTGAAAAGAGGGGGGTATTCGTTTATAGTGAAAAAGCATAATTTCTTTGAAAATATTTTTTCTACTCCTGGTTAAAAAGCAAAGAAACTAAGAGTATAGTTATGATGAGCAAGAGTGCTTCTTCCAGAATTGTGAGTTTCATGCCCCCTGGGTCAGATGTTCTGATGTAAGGATGGGGCTCTATTGATAATACAGTAAAAATGCATTAATTCTATTAATAAATCCTGTCTGCTCCATAGTGTTGGGCAGATAAACAAAGTGCAAAGTTATGATGAACAAGGGTGCTTCTTACAAAAGTTTTAAAACTTGTGGTCCCAGGGTCAGAGGTTCTAATTCTTTGCAACCATTTGGTCAAGTGTTTTGGTCATGGCCAGGGCTCTATTAATTTGTATTCTACTGAGAGAAGTTATTCCCCTTTGCCATTCACTTTTGACAATTAATCACTGTAAATAATGTATTTAAAAGGTAAATAGAATAAGAGAATTATGCAAGAATTTTTATTGTGTAATAAAAAAAAGGTACTTTCATAGTTTTAATGATCAAGTAGACTTTTAAATAATGGATAAATAAAAATGAGACAAAAATAACTTATCATAAAATATTCTTCAATGACCAAGAGAGTCTCAATATGGGGTTAAAAATAGTACAGAAGCACTTAATAGTTTGTTAGTAGTCTGCATGGTGATAGTGAAAAATGGGGGACAGATTATTTATGAGTTGTTACTGAATACTAGACTAATTATTTCATTGATTCTGATCATCCTATTTCTCTTGCTTTTGGGCAACGAAGCTTCATCTATCAGTTTATTATATATTTTTAGACCCTCTAAATTGTTGTATTATACTCAAGTGACCGTTAAGGCCCTTGGGCCTCTTGTTTTAAATCTATCACTGTTCATTATCTTCACCTTTTTCACTGTCCAAATAATCTTTAACATTGGCCGTAACTATTGAACGCTTGATGCTAGGGCTTTGATATGTCGCATGGTTTTCTTTGTGATAAGACCTTCCTCTTTGGGTACCAACATTTCTGACTTCATGACCTTGACCTTAGATTTGATTTACTTTTGTCCGACTTTTGTAAAACTGTAACCATAGCCATGAATTTTGAATGGTTGATGTTAGTCATATGTGTATTGCTTTTGACAAGACCTTTCCCTTTGTGCCAACATTTTGACCTCTTGACTCTTTTGTAAAACATTAACTTTGACCATATCTTTAGAACGGTTGGTACCAGTTCTTGCTCTTGTGTATGCCTTGTGACAAGAACTTCCTTTGGGTACCATCATTTTTCACCCTATGACCTTGATGTTTGAGTTTGACATACTTTTGAAAAAACTGATCCGTGTTTCACAAATATATCTTGTAATGCTTTGAACATTAGAAGTTCCCTTGCTGTACAGTCTGTTAAAGCCATCACACCCCCCCCCCCTTCGAACTATTCACTTTGGTCATCAAGACGTGAATAGTAGCGGACTGGTTTTAGTCAAATGGCCTCGATGTACTTAATTACGATCAATTTCATCTGCTTTTCTTCTTGTTTTGTCTATTACAGGTGACGATTATCTAAGCTATAAGGAGTACGAGAAAATGATGGTAGAACAGCTGGAGACCCAGATTATGGAGTTACAATTCCTGGAAAAATGCTTTGCAAAAATGGATGTCAATGGGGACGGAACTATCACGGCCAAAGAAATTGCTAAGACGATGGGTATCTCAAGGTCAGACGCTGATGAGCTGGTGAAGGAGGGTGATATGGACGGGGACGGGGAGCTCACGTTTGATGGTATCGGTATTATTTCTATAAAGAATCAAATAAAGATAATTTTAGTTCATTTGTACGGTGTTTCCAAAGGACTGTTTTTTGTTGTTGTTTTTGTTTTTTTTTGTTGTTGTTGTTGTTTTGCCCTGTTCACGATTCATTTTGTGTTTTTTGTTTGTTTGTATGTTGTTTAACGTCCCTCTAAAGAATTTTTCACTCATATGGAGACCCCATCACTTGCCGGTGGAGAGAAAATTTTGTCCTATACTCAGCACTTACGGCCACTGAGCAGTGAGGGATCTTTTTCGTGCCAGCACCTACTGCGACACGGGACCTCAGTTTATACAGTCTCATCCGAAGGACCGGTCTCCACGTCTCACAGTGGGATTCGAACCCGCGACGTAAGGATCAACTCCTTACGCCGCGACTCTAGAGCAGACGCTCTAACCACTGCGCCACGCGGGCGACGATTCGTTTTGTGAGATTGGTTTTGTGAGATTGTTCTCTGTTCATTATCTTGACCTTTTACATAAATAGAGAAAAGGAAGCCAGAAATTTATAATGCACATGTAATCTTCTTCATATAAGAAAGCTCAATTTTTGTTTTCGGGCATGAATATATTTTCCAGAGCGAAAAGTTAATATAAAACAAAATTGGTCAATATTCAAAGAAATGCATGCAAACAAGCCGAGAAAAAATACGTACAGTTGGAGAAATAAGAAAGTGAAAGATTTCAATTGTAATAATATTGGAAAATGTCGTTGTAATTATGTGCTTTGGCAACAATAAAGTACGTACAAACTGTTATCAAATTTCTATGACATATTTCTTTTTGAGTATCCTATATGTCCAAAACCTAGTAGAGCTTCAGTCTTGAAAAAGTTGGAAAAGATGTGTTTCATCTTTCGTTTGCCTTACTCAATTCCAATTTCGGAATAGCATATTGAAATTGCTTATCTCTAGTAAATATTCATTCAATATTGTATTCAAAGGAAATTAACTAATAAAATCGCATTTAAATCTGACTAAAGCAAGACTTTATTTATGATATCTCTATGCTGTAGCGGAATTAATGGTTTGTCTTTAGGTCATTGAACAACAAGTTAACAACACACAATTTTTAACTTCATGATTGGTCAGACTTAGTTGCAATAATGTAGCCCTCTCCGGTTTTTTTCATCTGATATTTTCAGGAGAGGGCTACAATTCCACTGCATCTCCGTAATGGTGCAATATATTTTTTAGATACGGGCGACTGCAGGCAAAATAAATTGTTTTTGCATTCAACTTCCTTCCAATAAGACGGAATCTTGATTCACTATCAACATCATATACGCCTTTATACGCGAAAAACCAAGGAAAATAAATCTGCGTGTTTTCCAGTCGTTCTCCTCAGCAGCCATGACAGTTCTCGCGTGATATACTGAGACTTGCGCTTGAAATTTAGAATCACTTGATAAAGTAAATGTCAGTGTTGATAAATGTTTGTGTTGTATGATATCACTAAACGTCGATAAATAAAAGCATTCCATGTGATATTTCTTTCATAAACAGTGATATTTATGCTTATAATAAGGGAAATCCTAAACAGATCCGCTCCCCTAGATCCCGAATTCTCATTGGTTGTCCCAAAATAAAATCGATCAAGGTCAGTAAACATGGCGGATAAATTCAAGTTGTGAGGTTGACATACACGAAAAATAACCGATTTACGGATTGTTCTGTATATTTTTGGATCAATCCATGTCTTGCATAACTACATTTTATGAGTTCAGGTAAGATATGTTAATAAAATACCCACTTACTGATAATTTGAGCCGAAATCTGTGCGGTAGTGAATCACTCCCGCACTTGCACCATTACGGAGATCCTAAGCCCCCCCCCCCCAAAAAAAAAAAAAAAAATCGGAGAGGGTACATAACTGCTGCTAGGTCAGACTGCAAGCATAAATCTAGATGTTCTTACTATATGTTGTATTAGGCAGTAAAAAATGCACGTACATGCAAGTGTTTGCCTCGAGAGAATATGGTGGAAAATGGTAATCTTAACTGTCAATTTAAAAACAAATTATTAATCAGTAAGTTAATCAATAAAATAAATGAACCTAATGTATTAAAGATTATATTGCTGACAACATAATTTTTGAAAGATATTACTTTTCCATGAATTTTGAAAAATATATTGTCTCAGAGATGGAGGTTATCCTCGTCTTGTATGGACTCTTTCTTTTCCGCTCAACATTGGTCGTATTGCATATGTACAACACACCACCGGTCATTTATTTAAAAATGTTGTTTGTACTAATGTTTAAATGTCAAAATGTTTGTTAACAAAATATGCAGAAACAACTCAGCGACATAAGATATCAGATACATGTTCTATTTTCCAAACAAATTTTGTCAGAAAAAAATCGTATATAAACTCATGCAACATCATAACATTTCTAAAGAAACATTTAACATATTACAATAATAGAAATAAGAAAATTTGTTTTGCATATCGATATAATAAAACAACTAAACACTCCTAATGAGGTCAACATTTTGCCGAGACCTGACCCATTCGTTTAATTGACCTGACCTGAATTACTGACCTCTGCCAGGTTAGGTCACATCATGAATCAGGTCTTGGATCCTCATTTTATTACGTAGAGCTCAATTGCAGTAAAAACTTGTCTAATTCGGACACCACTGAACCATCAAAAATCTAGTATTTTTATTCCGGATTAGACATTCAATATGCTGCAATGGAGTTAAAGTTTACATCGTAATAGGCAAGATTTCGGAATACACTACGTCTGGATAAGACAAGCTTTACTGTAATTATTTTAGTCTTTACTGGCAATATTAGGAACACCTTTTCCTAGTCTGGAAATCTTTTCAACATCACTAAAGATTTTTAATTTTATTTACAGAGTTTGTTTCCGTCTACAGAAAGAAGGAAAATTAAGAAGAGGAATCAAAAAGACATAATATGGGCGAATTCCTGTGTACACTTGAAATCATTCTAACAATCATGTTTTTGTTGTGATTTTGGAGACATCAAAATTTTCACATTGGAAAGAGCGAAGCTATTCTGTCATTTAAATGCCAGTTATATGTATCTACATGTTTCTGAATGATTCTGAATACATATTTAATCATATAATAAATGAATTTAAGCTTTTTGATTTTGATAATTCTATAAATGTACCTTGGGTATTCCAACAGATTGTTGGCGGACCTCAGACTCTACGTAACAGGAAATTTATTAATTCCGCTTGAACGCATGCATACAATTACACACTCAGGTAGTAGTCCCTGCAGCTAATGATATAAACTGTACCAACAACCAAAAACGTGCATTCATTGTAGTTACATGTACGGTATTCTGGCAAGCATTTTTTTCTGATAAATGTATGTTACTTTATTGAACTACGTGAATAAACTATGATTTTTTTTTATTTTGAATTAAGCTTAATCCCCTTAAAAATGAATTTTAAAAAAATTCCCTTTTTCAACAATTTTCCAAACTGACATATATTTTATTTTTCAATAGGAAATAAATATTTACATTTCCAAATATTTTTCCTTAAGATTCTTTGCAAATTAGAAAAAGTTAATGTTCTCATGAACTACCGTGGGATGAGTAAGAATATTTCCATTGTGATGTAATTGAAGTAAAAAAATAGTGCAAACTTAAAAAAAAAAAGATCGTTGAATGACAAAAATATGTGGCAAGATATCAGTAAAATAATGTAAATAAAAATATATTAATTAATTTTTTGAGAATTCATGAGGTACATGTATATGAACTACAACGCTTCACGCCTGCATATTTATGATATATGAATTGTAGAACAAAAAAGATTACCATACAGAGTTCCAATATTCTATTTCCTAGGCAAAATGAACCATCCTTGCTTTAAATCATTGAACCAGACAGTACAGTGCAGGAAACTAATTTTGTTACAGCATCGATGCTGATTTGAATGCTTCCTTTGCTTGCTGATTTGAATGCTTCCTTTGCTTGCTGATTTAATGCTAGTAATCCTTATCCTGATGCTGTTTTATAATTAGGTCAATGCTACCAGAAGCAGCATCATGCTACTGGAAGTAGATAATGAATTTCAGCATTGCCGTTTAAAGCAATAAAAGTGCCTTTTACAATTATTTGATCATAATATCTCACTATGTATCAATAATGTGAATACTTTAACCAATATTCTTTCTTTCTTTTTTAATTTTTTAATGAATTAAAACTAATTGATTTTCTGATGCTAGTAGGATAATGCTGGTTTTATGTAGGTCAATGCTGGTTTTATCCTATGCTTGCTGATGCTGATCCTGGTAATGCTGTTTTTTAAATGCTGATCCTGATGCTAGCTCGATCCTGATGCTACTAATGCTTATGCTGATGCTTGTTTATGTAACAAAATTAGTTCCCTGCACTGTAAATTTAAATAATAAATCGGTCTTTAGCTCAGTGTCTTTTACAAGAAGGAGTGGCTATCTACTCTTGTATATTTGTTCGCCGATCATTTCTCCCATGAAACAATACTGAATTATTTTTGGTTCTTTTATATATATCTTTGTATTTTTTTAACTAAAATTTTTTATTCAAATAATTACCAAATTCTTCAAATACATTGACGTTACGCACGGTGTTGGTGACGCTTTGAATTGATTTTCCTTCTAATGAGAATATCGGCATGCATTACTCTATAATTGTGTAAATAAATAATACCTCTTGAGTACTTTGCTTCAAAATAAATTAGAAAATCTTTTGAAACTCGGAAATATGTCATTATTTTTTATTTTATCTACATTAAGATATTAATACCTTTGATATTTATGCATAGACACACATGTAGACTGGTAACGTTTGAGGCATATACTCAAAATTGTAATACATATATGAGCGATTTATAAAATTGTAATATTGATAGTTTTTATATCAGTCGGCGGGAAAAAGCATCGTCTTTATGACATCATAAGTAATTTGACGTAAAAATCGTTAGATCTGAGTGAATACGCCCTTTAACGCATGAAGATAGAAGGTAGACTTCGGAAAAAAAAGAGGGGATAAATTCAAAGTTTGATCAGGTAAGGGTGTTTATGGAGATGTGTTGTATATTTTTAAAGAACTGGAAATTTGATTTACACAAATATCTATCAAAAACAGATGCTTACAAGAGTTCTTGAAAAATTTTAGGTTCATTTTTAAATCCTTTTCAAACTTTTTAGCATTTATTTGAAACTCATATCATATAAAACCCCTATGTCACGTTATGTTTTTTTTTAAACATTGTGATTCCATATAACCCTTACTGTTTGATTTTTTTAGTCCGTCGTATAAATTTCAGAAAAAATATGCAATTTAATTCTGAAAGGAGTGTATCAAGGATCTGCTTAAACATTATTTTATGAATTTCAATGCATAAAAATAGCTCATGTGGAATTTCGCATGTTTTTACTTGTCCGTCACAGGAAATCTTTCACGGTTTCATGGCGTCTCATAATATAAACTAGCCCTATTTAGTCCAAGTTTATAAGACTTATTTATATTTCAATTCCTATTATTTTACTCATGGTCTATAATCTCCTACTATGCTTTTTATTAATTGGTTCCAAAACGTTTTTTGTCTCAAAATATGATACGAAATTCTAACTGAATCTCTGTCTACTCAAATGTCCTCGACAGTGTTTCTAATGTTTTTTCTGTGATTTTAAATGCTATGGTACCGAACTCGTACTCTTTGAAAACAATTATTTCAAACACTTGATAAGTTTTCAAAAAAACTCTTTATTCTCTAAAAATTATACCCATATTAGACTTTCCTGTTCCTTTGTTTTGCAACAGAAATGATATTCAATGAATTAATGAAGAAGTTTAATTGTTCTACTAATTTGTCTATCTACAGGATTTTGACGTGATCTGCACTTATGACGTCTCGCGACAAAAAAGCGCAGATGTTCACGGTTTAGATTCACCTTAATTAAGACACATCAACACATTCATTGTTAAACCCAGAAAATTGTAAATGGAGGGGATGCACAAAATGAAAGGGGGAGGGGGGTAGAGGGAATTCACAACCTGACTGCTTAGACAGTTTTTACAGTCTACATCCCGTTTACATTTCCTTTTCCTCTTTGGGAGACATGGGAAAGTTTTAAGACTTACAATTCATCAGTACATACTAATTTTTATGAAGGCTTTTGTTCATTTCTCAAGTGTAGTTTTGTCTGCAAAAAGATGGAGGTGGTGGTGGTGGGTGGGTGGGGGGTTCTGACCACTCCTCTGGATCCGCCCTTGGAATGACGCACATGTTACGTATACAGTATGATTATAAACAGATAACGATATGGGACAAACTTTAAATTTTAAAAAATCGGAACAATACGTGGTATGCATATTTTTTTTTTTATATTGCCAATTACCGTCGGCAAATTGAATTCAAATACCGAAAATTTCTGCTATCTAAATCAAATATGAATTTGATTACATTAGATATAAATGTATGTTTTTGCTGAATTGTGGCAAATGAACAGTTTATAAGGGGTTATTGTATACAGTTGTCATAGACAATATGAAGGGAGCGAATCAAAGAAATACATGTATAGCTTTCATTAAAAGGTAATAAATTTAAAACAACAATATATTATGCATACCAGCGCAATTTTTCATGTCGACAAAACTAAGGCCTATATACTAATTCTTCAGTGTGTTTCAAGAAAAAGAAATGGTGTTATCAATGTTGAATTGCTAGCAACGCTCCCATCCCGTTCGATTCAGTACGATATACAGAGATGCAGAATCGGCTTTAAAAAGTTTAGGGAGGAGGGTAAAAAGTATCAAATTAAGACAATTTTTAGGACAGAAAAATTCGACGAGAATAAAAAATGTTTTGGAAATAAAGTATATTATTATCATTCAAAAACATGCATTAGTAAAGGGAAGAAAATAGTTTCTCTCTCTCTTTTATTCAGTCTTTTACATTAAAATATTTCGGGGTGAAGTCTCCTCAGAGACCCCATTTTAATCCGCGACAGGTGTGCCTACGGCTCTTTGGATTGGATAGCATAGATATTATACATTAAAATTAAGGATTACATTTTTTTTTTAAAGAATTAAAAAAAAAAGAATAAAAAAACCCTTATTTTTTTTCTAAACATATTTGGTAAATTTAATCTTCTTGGCTCTAAACAAAATTGATCTAAAAGTATTCCTTATTTTTCCCCTTGTTGGGGGGTGGGGTAATCTTAAATGATATTGTTTCACATGTACCTAAAAGAGGACCCCCAGCCATTATGTTGTCTATGAAACATTCAATAATAAATTCAAATTTCATTCCTTATTGGATGACATATGTATAGATATATTGTATGATAACTATTTTTATCGTTCCTTAATATATTAGTTTACATATAAATTATAAAATTTGTATCATATATTGGTACAGGTATGTCAAATTGCTCAACGATCAAAGAAAAGAGAGAGGAAATACGCAGAGAACAAAAGAGAAAATGGAAACAAAAACAAAAATTATTGAGACCAGCAAAGGAGTTGTCTCAATCTATAGCTGCTGTAAAGAAGAGGTAGCAGAGAGAGAGGCTTGCTCGGAAAAAAGAGGAAGAACGTGAAAAAAGACAACAAGCTACAGAAAGAAAGCGGAAAAGTAGGGCAGTCCTTAAGAGTAAACAGATTCAAGAGAAATTAAAGAAGGAAGAAAAACGCAAGAAAAACACAGAGAAACAAAGACGATGGCGAGAAAAGAAAAAAATACTCAAGCAACACAATCTTCCGCTCACACAAGAGGAACAACAAATATTTCAAAATAAAATGAGCAAATCCCGTGCAATAAGAAAGTTAAAGGAAGCTCTTCCTAGGACACCTCTAAAACGTTTTGCAACTGTAAAGGCGTACTTGTCCTCAAAGAAATCACCCACGGTTAAGGAACTACAGCGTAGAAAGGTTGTACCATCACCGGAAGAACGCAAAGAATTGGAAATGAATGAATCGGTTATACAGGATGTGAAATCTTTCTTGAATTCGGTGAAATTTAAGAGGAGTGATAAGTCGCGGGAAGTCGTCGACATTCTAGCTGCATCTGTATCAGGACCATTAGTTCAAAAATCTAGGGCCAAAGTTGACCTTGCGAGAAAACTCGGAATGCCAGTTAGAAGGATCTCAAAGGGTGTTCGAATCCGACAACGAGTTTTGCATTCAGAACAATCATCCTTTGAGTTTACAAAAAGGAAAACAAGGTCAGATAAACTAACTGAAGAAGTTCAAAAAACAGTATATGATTTTTGGTGTCTACCTGAAAATTCGCGGCACACTGGAAATAAAACTGATGTCAAGCGTGTCCGAATAGGTCCAAAAACTTACTGTAGCCATGCTATTCAAATTCTAGAAAAAACACAGAGTGAACTGTTCATGTCTTTTAACCAACATTATCCTGAAATTCAGATTTCACAGAGAACATTTGAAAAATGTAAGCCATATTTTGTCCGATCTGCAAGGAAAAAGGATAGAACAACATGCTGCTGCAGGTATCATCTAGAGAGCAAGTTTTTGTTCAACGCTTTCAAGGCACGTAGAAATCAGTTGGCAAACGATGGGTTGCTGGACGAAAACACATTTAAAGTTTACAAAACAATTTCGGAATTATGTGAAGATACGATGTGCCATACGGAGGATGGAAATTTACATTTGAAAGACTGTTTAGAAAGAAGCTGTGAAAAATGCGGTGTTCATTTGCTGAAATTTTGTGACGCTGAATTAGATATGTGTGACGATTCGCCAGATGTAAACTGGAAAAAATTCGAGTATGTTGACATCAAAACAAAAAATGGCACCAAGAAGAAACTGACATTGGTAGACAAAATAACAAAGTCCGGTGAGATGATAAAGTATTTTAAGAAGGTGTTGAGGTTTTTCCCAGGTCATCATTTCAGGGCCAAATGGCAAAGGGATCAGCTGAAAAATCTTGCCGAAAACTTACCGGAAAACGAATGTTTAACAGTTCATGATTTCTCGGAAAACTACCGATGTAGTGAGCAGATTGAAATCCAGTCAAACTATTTTCAACGAACTGAGGTTTCCATTCACATTTCACTGATTTATAGACATGCTATTTTAGAAGTTGACGGTGTATCGAGCACCCCCGATGACCCTTATATTATTTGTGAACATTTTTTTTCTTATTTCTCCTGACGAAAAGCACGACCATCATTTTGTTAAATGTGTTCAGAAATTGATATCTGAATATTTGCAGTCCATCAATTACCCGCTCTCTACAATGCATGAGTTTTGTGACGGATGTCAAAGCCAATATAAAAGCAGGAACTGTTTGGGAAATCTCGTTCATTCCGTTGACGAGCTTGGATATCAGAAAATGATACGAAATTATTTTGAAAGTAGCCATGGTAAAGGACCACAGGATGCAGCGGGAGGTTTACTTAAGAACCAAGCTGATATGGCTGTTATCCGCGGGAAAGCTCAAATAAGATCTGCGCTTGATTTATTTAATTTTGCAGAGGCTAATCTCAGGACACCGCGATCTCATGCCTGCAAAAGAAGAATATTTCGATATATTGAAGAAATCCCGAGGTTTGAAGAGAACTTTCAGCCAATTAAAGGAATTCGAGCCGTACATCGAGCAGAAACATCTAAAGACGGGAAAATCATATTACGTAATATGTCGTGTTACTGCGACAGTTGTCTAGAAGGGGAAAAGTGTGAAAATTTACCTCAAGTTGGACTTTCCAAAGAAATGAAAATGAAGTCGAATAGCGAATCTACACATCAGGATCCTGACATTTCTGAGGAAGAATATACCGAGGCAGAAACACTCTCAGATTTTATTACTGAAGGAACAGTGTTTGCTGTTCTGTGCACAGGGGATGACGACAATGACTTTTATCTTTTACAAGCCACATCAAAGAGCAAAACTCTACGGAAAGCCAAAACAGACAAGTGGGGTGGATCGTTTGTTGCAGGGTCAACAGTCATCCACGGAAAATATTTTGCTAAAAAGGAAAACTCAATCTTGGACTATAAGCTAATAAAACGCCCAGTAGCCATGGTTCCAAGTGCATCTGTACTGTTTATATGCCAAAATGTATCTATACAAAACGAAATTCTTCACCTAACCGAAGAGGAAAATGAAGATATCCTGGAATGCGTCGATTTGTGCGTGTTAACACACTAAATTGATATTAAATGGCATCTAAATATTTTTTAGAATTGATTTCAAACCTGTATTTTTAACAAATTTAAAGAAAGTTAATTAATACGGTAAAGAACAGTTTTGCCTGTTTTTGACATGAACGTTTTTCACGCTACATAATAAACATATTCACTCATTAAACTTCCAGTTTCTTTTCATTTTATTTTATTTTATTTTTTTACTTTTAACATAGAATTGGATTTAAGGGAACTCTAAATTCTAATGAAAACGTTTTTTTTTTTACTTTGAGATCTTTTATATAAACGTGTAGATACTTCAATTTCAAGAAGGGTACTAGTACCTAGCTACAACATTCACCAAGAAAAAATATATAAAGATGTTTAAAGAAAATGAAGTATTCGCTCATGTTTACGTACATGCAATTAATGTATTCAGGGTTTTTTTGGTCAATATTACTTTCATTTTATTTCAAATTGTGTCATTTACTGAAGATTTCCATTTATTCCAACTTACATAAAAGGGCAGATCACTTTAAATTCATAAAACATATGGATTAGAACTCTTCAGTATGCAGTTAAACCTTTATGAAAGTTTTACTAAGTCGCTGATTGATATGAGTAATTTTTACGTCCCGTTTACGTGACGTTAAACGTCATTTATAACGTTACCAAATGTGACACCAACACCGTGCGTAACGTCATAATTGTATTTCTTCAAATACATAGTACGTTGCTATAAATGTGAAGTATGGGAATTTTAGGCCGGGGAGCATATTTTATTTATTTTCTTTATAAACGAACACATTTTTCCACTGGCTATATATTTTTAATAATTTAAATTAACTTTGAAAATTAGTTTAATTTCATCACAGAATTGTGTAAATCACTAGTTATTGAGTTAATGACTGCTAAACAAAGAAGATCTAATCATGACTGCAAGTGCTACATGTATTTTAATAACACCCCAAATCATTTCAAGAATTGCGAGACACAAATTAATGAGACGGGAAAATTGACAAAAGTATAATTTCTGCGTGACACATGAAATTTTGTTCAGTTCTTGAAGATATTAGGTTTCAGAAAATTACAGGTTTCAGAACCTAAAAAATCTACTTTTATGGAGAAAAAGTAAAAATAATTTTTGTTTAACCCAACACAAAAATATTCACTTCTTCCTCTTTATTGTACGCTGAAAAGTTGAAAAATTTACCATGGTGTCAATTCCATAGATATAAATGTCGGATGACAGAGAATTTTGATACAATCTTCAAAAAAGATGATCAGAACTTATGCAATGTTGTTTACAAGTTTCACGCTAAAAATAAAAGACGCGTGACCTTGACATTGTTGACATTGACGATAACAACCACGCTATATAGATACAACCTTTGTTTTTCCGGCACTTAACATTTTTCACTTCTTTTCTTGCTTTACTGTACAGTTGAGTTGTCAAAACTTTGCTATATTTATATTTCACATAAATCTTTTGTTTTATGATACAATTATTTAAAAGAAACACATGATTTTGATTCATTATGTAACTTTAAAGCGATGGTTTCACGATATCGATGGTATTATCCGTGAAACCTGCGCCTTTCCATCCTAAATTTTGGAAATTATCTGTCCAGAATAAAGTATTCCGTATGGCAAGACAAACGTTACAATTTTCAATCTTTTCCATTATTCTAAAAATTTCTATTTGTATTGTATATAATTTTTTTTATTTGTATTGTATAATTTTCCATTTGCATTCTATATTTTTCCATTTGCATTGTATAATTTCTTTTTTGTATGTAAAATTTCTTATTTGTATTCGATAATTTTTCATTTGTATTGTATCCGAGGATTGTTTATTTATTTCGTTACGAAAGATTTCACTGTTCAAAATTTAGCCAGTATCGTGTTGAAATGGTGAACCGGGTGCTCAAAGCAAATTGGGCTCCTATATGTTAGAGGATGGTCATTTAGAAGAAAAGGAAGCACTGGCAGATGACAAATAAATAACCTGTCCTTAGAAATATGTTGTTTTCTGAGAAAATAAATAATTTGATCTTGAGTGGTCGTACCTCACCCACCCACCCTTAAGAAATGGAGTTTTCGGGTTTGGGCAGATTTTTTTTCTTCTTATTCTGGTCATCTTGGACTAATAGAATCATTCATTACTACGAGTGTGGGATAGTGAAATTCCACCGAGGGGACAAGATTCACGGTCTAGGACGAGGCTTTGCCGAGTCTTAGACCGTGAATCTTGGCCTCAAGGTGGAATTTCACTATCCCACACGAGTATGTAATGAATGATTATTTTTCTCGCATTATTTTTTATCCAACATAACGGCCTGTCATCACCATTAAAAAAATTATTTTTTTTATTTAGTATCCAATAAAAAATCTGAATACACCATCAAAGAGATCGTACCTGAAAATGGTTTACACATGTGTAAACTCAGAAAATAAATTTCAAACCAATTAAATCATTCTTAATGATATAAACTGGAATTAAAAGAAAAAAATCCGATAGCGTACAATTCATTTCAGAAGAATCCTTCCGCGACCTACAAATAGTGCTATTTAAAAAATGAAAACACAAAAATCTTTTGAATGAAAATAAATTTGATTTAATAAATTAAACAACAACATTTTAAGTATATGTGATATCTTTTAAAGACATTATTACAAATTTTATATATTAGAAGCAATATGTTTACGTTCAAAATGGGTCATTTGCATATATTGACCTACATATGCATTATATGTGAAGCATTTAGCCTAGCCTAGTCCGAGTCGGAGTCAATCACACGAACTCGTTTCCTGGATTGATAGGTATTGTTTGTAATATTAACTGTTACATTTCCATGAATTTGTGACCCGCTAAATATTGATCCCATAGATGTTGATGTCGAGCGCTGCATATTAACTTGGTTGTTTTGAGTTTCAATGGCGGTATTATCCGAAATTGGTGTCAAGTCGAAGAACGGCTGTGCGTGTGTCACTGTAGAGTTCCGCAGGGCTCTGGTTGATGATGATGTTTCAAAACGAGAATGGTTTTGTGTAGAAGCATTTGAGAATGGAACTAATGAGGATATATTGCCGGAGGAATTTGATAAAATGCTGCTTATTGCGTATTTCTGTGAGTCGTTTATTGTGCGGTAGTTATTCAATGACTGAATGTTTTTGTGACCTGTTACGTACACTTGTAATGTGTCAGGGACATTCGAATCCGTCATTCTTTGGACGAGAGTTTTACGGACACTTGTGTTGGTGATTTTCTTATTGTCAGGTAGGCCAGCATTTTTTGACATTCTTTTCATAAGGTCATTGAGTTTGTTGACGCCCATAGGGCTACATATAAACCATCGATCTTGCATTCTAGGACGTTTTTCGTTAGTAACGACTGAAATGTAAAAGGGGTCCTCATGTTTTGAATATCCTTCGGGACGTTTATCTCTATACAAAATATAGGTTGATACGGGACATTTTTCAGGGTTGGCAGGGGTTGCATACATGCGAGGTGGGCACGCCCGGCTATCAGTGACATCCACGCCGGTTCTAGTCTTGGTGGCCCTTTCATGGTACTCTAAGTAGTCGAGTTGAAGTGCCTCATCCCTTTTTAGGACTACATCCCCCCACCTCATGTTACGGTGTTCAGTTCCCCCTCGCATACCAAAATACAATGTGTTGTTAAACCAAAGAGTGCTAATCAAAGAGGTTGGTGTAGCTTTTCCAAGTTGTTCAGTATTGTAAAGAGTTTCAATTTCGTCAGGTGTTAAAGAGTCGGACCTTTGGGGTTTATTTCCACGCCCTTGTGCTTTTAAATCCTTTTGTTTTGCCCTTAGGGCCTCTCTGCACCGTGCAAATTCAAAGCTTGTTATTAATGAAAACTGGTAACGATGACGTTTTAAGTGTCTTTCGAAGCTCCCTATCATTCCCCTAAGACTTGAGGGCTCATATTCTTCGCCAGATTTCGTGCGGACATTCACAATAAAGTTCGACAAGAGAGGGTCCAACTCATTTGGGGGTATATTGTAAATTTCTCTTGACTCCCCTTTAATTTCAAAATACTCACGTAAAATGTTCAAATGGCCCATTGTTTTTCGTAAAGTATTTGAGTTTTCATTTGCCTCAATAAAAGTAGATGTTTCCACATTTTTGAATCGCACACTTGTACTTGCACCCTCCATGATTTATTATTATTTATAATTGCAGACGATATTTGTTTACATGTAAAAAGTAGTACCGTTCACGGCGTAGTAATACACAGTGTAAGACAGAAAAATCTCACACTGCTGTCTCACACTGGACAGGTCTATCTAACACCGGTGATAATGCGAGAAATAGATATTCTCTCCTGCAAGAGCATGAAAAAAATAATCTGATTCGACATAATTTGCCACCCCCTCCTATGGAGAATGAAATGACCGTCCCTTAGCAACCACGCAAATAGAGGAACCACATGCAACAGTGGCTGTCAGCTATCATCCGCAACTGTACTCGGCAATGCTGGTACCGGACATCCATGACTGTACCTGCTCACTAATATCAATTAAAGTACTGAAAGTACTGAAAAGCGGTTAGCATGCTTTCATCTAAGATTCTAAGATTTAAAAAAAAACTTTGCATGAAATGATGTTAAAAGTACGTGAAGCTGTTGTTCAATGTCATCAGAGAAGAAGCAAACATTCCGAACTTTGGAATATTTTACTAAATGACAAAACCACTTACATCTCATTCGTACACCAAGACATCATCTTTTATCGTTTGATGTCACAAATGCATGTTTAGAAATATCAAAACGTGATTTCTTGAGTTTGAAAGACAGAAAGCGCAATTTTTTAATAACACTTTAGGTAGCGACCAGAAGTGCCTAGGACGAAAAAAGTAAATTGATGTAGATTTATCTACCATGCTCTATGGTTTCTGAAATCAGGTAATTGTTAGGTTGCTAGCGCACAATTTAAAAAGAAAAAAAAATGATAATTCAAATAGGGATGTCAATTTTATTCGGACAGCTTAGTCGAATAGTCGGAGGCTTTAGTCGAACGATAGTCGAATATTCGTTGAAATTTAAATAAATTTTTCATGCCATTTTCACTATTTGTGTTTTATAGACTAGTACAATATTTAACCTACGCTATCACCATTATACAACGAATTTCTGAATCGTAAACATTTACGTAGTACATACTGTACATCTAAAATTTATCCAATGCATTTGATTTCAAAATTAATATAATATTTACTGCACATTTCATCTAAATGTAGGATGTCAAACGCTTGCATTTGTCCTTTCTTTTCATAACGATAGTACATGTACCCGTTAATTGAAGCCATTTCTATGTGCCGTGTCAGTGACCGTTGACTGCATTGTAAACAATTAAAGTGCGCCTCTTATAAAAACAGAGAGAGCTTGCGATAAATTTTAATTATGAGATTTTGTGCAAATATTCAATACAATCTTAAAAAGACTGCATATTAATATCAGAAAGAAACACATTTAATTACGCTCATAAATGTCCCCCAATTTACATGTATTTACAATTTTGTAACAGCTGTTTAAATTATTCTTTATGAATTAGTTACATTACGTCAGATCTTATGGAATTGCAGGTTGAAACTTTATAATTTGAATCTACAAAACCAAACAATTCTTGAACGTCCTGTCCATTTACAACAATAAGTGGTAGACAATCCTTGATAATTATGTTTGTGAAAGCAACATTTTTCTTTCCGGCTCTGCTTTTTTGGGGCATTTTGCGGAGAACTTACTTAAGAAAAGTTTCACTTGAAGACTGTGTTTACTACATATATATGTTTGACGGATTTCAGCATATGATCCATCATATTTGATGTTCCACTGCAGACTACAAGTTCAGTTTCAGATAACCTTGAATACCTACTTTTAACTGTTTTTCCATCCTGAAATCTTTTGAAGTATTCCAAAACTGTAGATTTTGGAGGCATATTTGCAGAACATAAATCGACATACAAATAATTTCCTTTGAACAGTTAAATCATACCCTGAGTTTTACTTACGAGAACATTGATCTGTATATAAATGAAATGGGCGAATCCAAGTTTATTTCCTTGAATTTAAAATTACTTTCAGGTAACACATTTTTAACGAATAACCGACTAAAGAAATTTTAGTCGATAGTCGGTATGATCGAACGATAGTCGAGTACTCGAATATTCGTTGACATCCCTAAATTCAAAATATTTAGATATATGAATTTGGAGTAGCTGCAGATCTTAAGCTCGCTGGTCTAGAGATTTTGTCAGTATTTTTTCGAAGAGTTTCAGTTCTGTAGCTATAAATTTAATTGAAGGTAAACTAGTCGGATCAAAACAAAACAAATACACTATAGATTTAAACTTTATACATTGCTCAGGGCGGGTGTGACCGGTCAATTGCGGATGCTTACTTCTCCAAGGCACCTGATCCCACCTCTGGAATTTTCAGGGGTCCGTGTTTTATGCCATCTTAACATATTTGTATGTTTATATTCGTGATATTTTGAGATCGATCACTGTTCGTTATCTTAGCCTTGTACATTTAAATGTTGAAGTTCATTAAAGGGATTCTGTATTTTTGAGGTACTGAGTACTTCCATTTTATATTATGTGCTACTACGGCACTACCCTCACTGGAAGACGGACAAGTAAACTAGAAAGTCAAGTTTTAAGAAATGTACATTATTGACCATGCAAACATTTTAAATGTTCAAATCAGTAAATGCATATGTAACAATCATTTAAAATGGGACAAGGATATTGCAAATATATACAGGGACAGATACTGAATATTTGGCACATACTTTTCATGCAATACTCTTGATGTCAAAGAAAACGCATGAAAAGTAAAGTTGCTGTCTAATCCAGTTATATTAGTATTTATGATTTCACATATACACTTAAAGTAATTGTTTGATTAACAGTTTATTTGTCCTAAATGTTTGCATATTTTATAAACTTAAGGTTGAATTTTAGAAGAGGATCAGTATGCCGATTTAAGTTTTTATATGTTTTCTGTTTTTTAAAAATTAATTTTACTATTTTCAGTTTCCCATAAAATATTTTTTTTAAAAATAAAAGTATGTGATCGTTTATGATTGTTTGTAATTTTAAAAAAAAAAGAGAGTACAGAATGTACCCCTGTGAGCTAAACTTTTATATTCTTTTAATTAGAGAAGAAATAACTTTTCAATATGAAAGTAATTCCATTGTTTCTATTAAAGCAGTTGTACAATTTAGAGAAACTTAAAATGTATTTAATGCTTTTAATAAAAATTCTTTTTCGTATATTACTTCACTTAATAAAACTAAATACTTTGGGGTAAACTCATAAGAGAAAATCAAACACGAAAGTCTCGATCGCCTACGTTTTGCAGTCGGTAATAACCTTCAACCCCTTTAGTCAGCAAAGAACCCGTCTATCTAGTGCCCATCGTGGCATAATTAGGTCAAATAATTAGGGCGGTCTATAAATTGTTCATGAGAGATGCTATATAATTTATACAAAATCGTTCAACTCCCAAAAATAAACATTAACTATAAATCACGATTGCAGGATTTACCGACGAGTTTATACTCTGCAGGTAACCCCTAAAATTCAAGCCGTGCGATTATCTCGGTATTAGCCTGTCAGAGTCAGAAAGGCAGTAGAGGTAGCGATGGTAAACAGATCATAGGTAGCGCTTTGACGAAGCTTCCGATGTCGCATAGGTAGCGCTTTGACGAAGCTTCCGGTATCGACAAAAATTGCGTAAGATCTTTGGTTACATGACATAAAGCGATTAGCGTATACGCTAACCGCTTAAAAACGGAATGTCAGAGCAAGATTTTCCGGATTGTTCAACGTATTGAACTATATATGTTGTTAATTAAGTATGGATTGTTTTTTTTTTTAATGCAAAATATGAAATGTGTTAATATGGAGGAAGGAAAATTTCTGATTTTAAATAAATCTACTTTATGGAAGGCTGTAATCGCCAAAACGGTAACGATAACTGGCTTAGTGAATATATCGAGGAAAATATAATTATGCCTAAATCCATTGCATGGATCGCTATTATCTCTAAAAAGTAACATTTACTACAGCGTACATTTTGTATATCTATGACTGTATACCTGTGCCTGATATACAATATCTGCGACTGTACCTGTGCCGTACATACACACTACCACTGACTCAACCCGCGCTTGATTATAAAATCCACGACACGAAATTCTGTGGATTTTCTCCGATTTAGATTTAGACTGAATTCAATTAACGCTAATCTTTACACATGTATTACCCATGACAGTGATCCAAAACTTTTACAGATTTAAAATTAAAGCTTTAAAACTTTATGTTCAGAGAACAATATGAGCCAGGTCTTTAAATTTGTGTGTGTGTGTATGGGGGGTGGGGGGGGGGGGGCATGATTTCAATTTCCTACGTGCTCAATAATAATCAGTGATGAATTTAAAATGAAACTTGCTAGTATAATTATTGAAAATATACGAGTAAACAATAAACAAAGTAAAATGAAAAAGGAAATTAAAATAAATATTGGAATTAATTTGTAATCCTTAATTTTATGTTAGAAAGTATAAGTACGTCACAATATTATTAATTTCACCCATTTCATTGATCATGCAAGTGGTGTCAATGAAAAACACAGGTTTTTTCCCATAAATATATGTCTTACGATATATACGGGTGGAATGGGCTGATCCACGCGTTTTCAATGTGTTATATATAAACATCTCAAGTGCACCCCCAGGAAGTAGCCTCCTTCGCCTGACAAAGAATAGTTCATGACAAAAAAACCTTAAAGTTTATTTATTTACAAAGTACATAAAATTTACTAGGCACAGGTATCAAAGTTGTAAAAATAGGCTGGAAGACCCCTCCCCCCCCCCCCCCCAAAAAAAAAATTAAATTTTTATGCATGGAACAATTAACATCTTGACTTGTCGATAACCGTGGTGTGATACCTGAAATATGCAGGGTATGGTATTAAAATAATTGATCATATTAAAGGAAATTACTGCTATAATTATCTATAACATCCGAAGAAAATATTTGTATAAGTAAATATATTTATTAGATCCACCTCTCTAAGATTCTGCAATCAACTATCTGGAATCGATCTATAGGGAATATCGGTGAATAGCGTTAATAGCACCTTTATTGAGT